GTGCTTACTTTAGGGGAAGCCCACTCTTGACATGCATGAAGTTAAATGAGCAAGCCACTGAACTGCTTTCTTTCATGACAATGCTCCTTATCTCCCTGGTTGTATCGACACAGCGAGTAGTTCTCCAAAGAGATGGAAGGAGTTTGCTTTTAAACTAATTTTCCTGTCATTTCAACTTGTCAGCACTGGATTTAACTACTGTAACTACTTTGTGTGTGTCTGTCATCCTCTTTCTCCTTTCCCCTGAAATAGGTGGCAGTATCTTTCTCTCATATATCACCTTCACTCTGAGCAACAGGGCAGGGTGGTGTTGAACATCTCAGGGAAATGGCTACAATCATTTACAGGCTTTTAACGCCACTGCGGGTTAATTAGGGCCCTGAGTGCACTTGTCCTCTCCTCCCCTTGGAGGGAAGGACAGGAAGACTTGCACAGAGGTGACTCCTTTGGTCCCACCCTGCTCCGAAACCCCTCCTGTCCATCACCAACAGGGGCTCATCCACCAGGTATCGTGCTATTCATGGGAGCGGCCTTGGGAAGGGAATCCCACCTGGGCGACAGAAAATGGAAGAAATTCCCAAGCTGTGCAGGGTTTAGAGGGTCAGGCGGGAGCAAACAGGCCAGCGAGGTGAACAAGGATGCATGATAAAACACTGAGATGTGAGACCTGCCGCGCGCAGGGAAGAGAAATCCCATTATTGTGGAGGTTTGGTCCTTCCTGGTGACTGTCCAGGCAGCTGCCCAGCTTGCTGCCAAGTGCTCCCCCAGCCCCAAGATCCCTCTAAGTCCTGGGGCTGTCTAAGTCGTGCCAGGGTAAAGGCCAGGCTGAGAATGGGATGCCAAGGTGTGCGGGGAGCACAGTGCTCACTTTGTGTTCCCATGAGCTGCTCCACCACAACCTCTTGTGAAGTGACTTCTTCTTGAGGTAGGCTGACTATTATGTGGGTTGTCCTGGTGTGTGCATGGCAGGTGTGGCTGCACTGGGCCCAGGACTGGCCTGCTGCAAACGTTTCTCCTTTTGACTACAGCCCAGAGCCCCCAAAGCATGCATACGCCCAGGGTCTCACAGCGCACACAGTTGCCCGGCTTCCACCATTTGACAACTTGGCTCCTGGTGAAGTCAATGGCAACACTCCTTTCAGCAGAGGGAGAATCAGGTCATTAGTGCTTCAGCCCTAATTTATAGGGGTCACTAGCAACAAGGACGGGATTTGAACCCACGCATGCAGAACACAAGGGGTTAACAGCCCATCGCCTTAACCACTCACCGCCTTGTCATGGTTTATCAGGAAGTTATTTTTTCTCCAGAACCCAGCCAAAGGTTAGTTGAAGTTTGGTGACTAATTAAAAATACAAGAATTGATGAAATGACAGCAAAAGTATATTGAATTACTGTTGATTGCAGTAGACTTTTAATGCAGCTTGATGCTCCTATTGATCTCTGTATAGTCATTGATAGAAAACGGTTTCCTTTTTTAATTTTAACTTTATAACTTAAAATAACCTATGGTGTAACTTGTGTTTAGTTCATACATTTCCTCTGCATGCCTCTTGTGTCTTGTACTGAAACAACACACGTAAATACTTTGTTCCATACTCTGCCACAGACTGCCTTGGTGACCTTGGGCACATCATTTTGTCCCTCTGTGCCTTAGCGCTCTGACCGTATGTGGGAATGATCCTTCTCTAACTTACAGGCAAGTTGTGAAGCTATCTCCACTGTAGTCTGTAAGGCACGTGGATGCAATGATAATGGGAGTCAGATGAGTTCCTAACATACAAAAGATAAAATAGTAAGCCTTCTGTCCCCAGATTCTGCTTAAACTGAGTTTTTTCCAAGTTCATAGTCAATGGCTGGACTCCTCATTTAACATTTCATTCCAGCGTCCAAGCTCTGTATCGGTCAAGTATAAACTAGAATAAAAGAGCAAAAAAAGCTGAGTTTGAACCAGTGGGATGTCATCCTGATGCAGGTGTCTAACTAAGATGCTCATTTGAGATTCAATTCTTGCAAAGCCCGTACTACACTTACATACTCCGAGTAGTCTCAGTAAGCTTGTGAACACTATTTTTGCATGATATGGACTTGAATTCTGCTTTTAAGCTCCAGGTTGATGAACACAGCGTGTAGCTAGATGGCAGCACTGTGATACCTCAGGGCACGGCAGCAGTGGCAGGTAAAATCTAGCCATGGCTCTTGAGGGAAGCTAAGAGAAAAAGCAGGTTTGTTCATATACGTCAGTAATTTTTCTTCCCCCAAAGTACGTGCCATTTCTGTCCCTCTTCCATATTATTGTCAGTTTTTACCTGTAATGTATTTCATTTTCACATGGAAAGCCCAGGGTGGAAAAGGACCCTACT